ATGGTAGTGGGAGCGGGGAGGAAACCTTTAGGAACTAGAGGAAGGTTGTATTTCTTATCATTGTTACATCGCACCCTGACTGGCTCATCTCTGTGCTCCCTCCTTGACCTCTTGTTGGTCCCCCATCTCCTCTCCCTTCCTCGCTCCCCTGTTCCCTTTCCTCTTGCCCTCCTTCCCTTCCCCCTCTCTCCACGTGGACCACCAAGCGGGGCTGAGGTGAGCATTGCTACCATGTAATGTGTCTGACTCCATTATTTGACTCTCTTCTATCTCATGCTCTCGATGACTTTAATATAATATTTATATGTCTCAACCGTATAATTGTGCTTACTGAACCCATGATTAATGGTGGGGGGCTGGCCACCCCACCTCCATTCACATTAAATCACAGTCCAAGAAGCCCTGACTGCATGGCTAAGTGCTTGGCTGCTAGCCAAAGGGTTGGAAGTTTGAAACCACCCAGCAGTTCCAGGGAAGATCTGTTCCCATACAGATCCCCAACCCCAAACTCACGGCTGCCCTCAGCCACCCCAGGGCACAGAGCGCCCCAGGCGGTGCATTTTCCCGGAGGCTGACGGCCTATCTTTCCCCAGCAGAGCGGCTGGTGGATTTGAACCGATTACCTTTGGGGTTGGCAGCCAACAATACTTGGCCATGGGGACACTGGACACTGGGGCTTCTCCATAAAGATCCAGCCAAGCAAACCCAAGGGGGCCATTCTACTCAGTCGCACGGGGCTGTGGCGAGTCGCAGCTGCCTCGCCGGCACTCAACAGTGACAGACCCGACCAGGGGTCCAGCCGTTCCTTCTTAGGCGGAAGCACAGAAGCAGAACACGAAACCCCGGGCTTCCAGGGTCCCGGCGTCACTGTCATCTCAGTGTTGGTAAATGGCACTGCCCCAGCATCTGGGCAGGTCACACCCTGCCCTCCAGCACGGAGGACTGCAGTGGTGATCGCCTGCGAACCCCAACGCCTGGCCCACGTGAGACCCAGCATTCATACTGGTGTCAATTTATGTTCACTTCCCCGTCTTGTCAGCATCCTCAAACGAGCATTTTCCTGTCAACCCTATTTGAAGACTAATCAACCAGTCTTATTTTTTTCCGATAAGCACCTTCTGCAACACACACACACACACACACACACACACACACACACACACAC